TATCTTAGTTCTTTTGGTCTATTTCTCTTTTAATCCTCTTAGTAGTTGCTTTACATATTTCAGTGCTTCCTGATTGGGTGCATATATATTAAGAAGTGTTACATCTTCTTGATGTAGTGTCTCCTTTATTGTTATATAGTGTCTATCTTTGTCTCTTGTTACCTTTGTTATCTTAAAATCTATTTTGTCAAATATACATATGGCTACACCTGCTTTTCTGTGGATGCTATTTGCTTATAGAATTACTTTCTACCCTTTCACTTTGAGTCCAACTTTGTTTTTGTAGCTTCGATGTGTCTCCTGAAGGCAGCATATGGTTGGGTTTTGTTTTTGATCCATTTTGCTGCTCTTTGCCTCTTAATTAGTGAATTCAGTCTATTTACATTTAGTGTAATTATTGATGTATGAGGATAATCTGCATCTATTTTATCTTTTGTTTTCTGGTAACTACGTGCTTCTGTTGGTTCTTTTCCTTTGTGTTTCTGTCTCTTGTTTTTGTTTGGTGGTATTCCATACTTCTTTCCTTTATTTACTCTTCTTTTAAGCAATGTGTCTCAGTTTTGTTTTTTGTGTGTGTATGTGTGGCTATTATTAGGTTTATATAATTATGTACATATAGCAGTCCTTTTTCTTTTGAATGCATCTGATCTCCATCCTCCTTTGCAAATTCAGACCTTTACCCCCCCCCCCCCTTTAATGTTTTTCTTGTCACAAATTATTCCTGTTGCCCTGCCCAGTTTGGCGTAGCAGTTAGAGCTTGGCCTGTGGATCAGAGAGTCATGGGTTCGATTCTGGTCAAGGGCACGTACCTCAGTTGCGGTTCGATTCTGGTCAAGGGCACGTACCTCAGTTGCGGTTTGGTCCCAGCCCTGGTCAGGGTCATGTGGGAGGCAAACAATCAATGTGTCTCTCTCACATCCATCTCTCTCTCTCTCTCTCTCTCTCTCTCTCTCTCTCTCTTTTTCCTGCTCCCCCTTCTACTCTGTCTGAAGATAAATGGAAAAAATATCCTCGGGTGAGGATTAAAAAACAAACAAATTATTCCTGTTTGTGCTGTAAATTTGTAGGTGATCTAACTCATAGTTTTGTGACCTTCTGGTTTTTGTTTCAGGTAGTAAAACCCCTTGAGTTTTTACTGCAATGGATGTCTTCTGGTGATGAATTTCCTCAGCTTCTCTATGTCTGGAAAAGTATTTTTATTTCTAATATAAAGGATAATTTTGATGGATATATTATTCTTGGCTGATAATTTCTCTTTTTCAGTAGTTTGAATATTTGGCTCCACTCTCTTCTAACTTGTAGAGTTTCTGCTGAGAAGTCCAATGATAACCTAGTGGGCTTTCCTTTATACATTACTTCTTTTTCCTGACTGCCTTAAGAATTTTTTCTTTGTCATTAATTTTTGACAGTGTTAATACAGTGTGCCTTGGAGAAGGCCTTTTTAGATTGAGGTAATTAGGTGTTCTATTTGCTTCTTGGATTCGAGGATCTAGCTCTTTATATAGGTTTAGGAAGTTCTTATCAACTATTCATTTGAATAAGTTTTCTTTCTTCTTCTTCTGGTATGCCTATTATTCTTATATTGCTCTTTCTGATGGAGCAGGTAGTTCTCATAGAGTTCTTTCATTTTATTTATTTATTTTTAATGCTCAAGTCTCTCTCTTCTTTCCTCTGCTTCATTTCTAGCTTTCTAACTTCGATATCACTAATCCTTTCTTCATGTTGTCAGCTGTGTTTTCCTATGCTCTCTAGTTAATTCTTGATCTCTTTCATTGAGTTATTCATCTCCAGAATTTCTCTTTGGTTCTTTATAAAGTGTCAGTGTCTTGGATAAAGTACTTGTTTTGTTTGTTGATTTGTTTTCTGAGCTCATTTAACTAGCTGACTCTATATTCTTGCATCTTGTTGAGTTTTTTCAGAACTGCAGTCTTGAATTTTATGTCATTTATATCACATATTTCCATGTCTCTAAGTTTGATTTCTGGAGCTTTTCATTTTCTTTCTAAGTTGCCTTCCTACCTTGGTTATTCATGGTATTTGATGGATTCCTTCTCTGTACAACCATCTATGTATGAGTGGCACTCCTCTAGCAGACTAATATGAAGAGGTCTTTCTACTGTTTTCCAGTAGGTCAGGCTGAATTACAAGTTTTTTAGCTCTCTGAAAATCCAGTGCTGTTTCCACAACCAGACACTGCCATCAGTGTAGCCGTAATGCATGGGGCTGTGGTGGGCTGGGGGAACCTGGCAGCCTGTTTTGTTTTGTCCTCCCAGTAAAGGTAACCTTGGACCTCCACAGGTTTGTACCTATGCACTGGCCAAGGGATCAATCACAGGGTACACCCTTTGCTCAGGGATAAAAGTTATTTTGTAGTACCAGTTCTCAGGTTCACAGATAATGTGCTCCACAACCCAACAACAGGGCAGAGAGAGGTGAATTCTGGGAGGCTAAATGCTACATGGCAGCAGGACTCTGAGGCTTTGTTTCTCTGTCCCGAATGCCAACTTTCTGACAATTGCAGCCTCACTAATGTGCTGTGTCCTTTTCTAGGTCTCTGGGCTCAGCCAAAGCTCAAACTGCTCAGTTCTGCAGGAATGCCCACTGATTCTCTTTGCTCCTACTGACTGAAGGGAGCGCCAGCCACTACCTGCTTCCTCCTCTTTGTGCTGAGCCCGCCATGAGCTCCCCGCTGCAGGGCTGTGTCCTGGGTCCTCTCAGATTTTTTCCCTTTGCGCCTCTCCCATTCACTCCCACTTGCTCACTTTTAGATGTTTCAGTGTGTGGTTCTCTCAGGTGTGCTTTTGTGTTGAACAAGGAATTCTTTGTTGAGTTATAGCTGTTCAAATTATTGAAATTTGAAGGGGAAAGACCAAGGGGATCTCTCATGCCAACATTCCTCTGATATCACTCTAAATTACCATTTTTAATAACTATATGGTATATAGTCCTATTGATTAAATATAACCTATTTAAATACTCTACATGATACATACATTTATTGTTATTCTTTGTAATACTGTGCTAGGTAATTTTGTACATAATAGATTTATTTTTAAATTTCCATCAGATAGCATCTTTAATGTATAATTATTGAATCAGAAATTAATTTTTAAAAATCATCTTACATTTTGCCAAATTGCTTTCTAGAGTGAATATAACAATATATACTCCACCCAGTAATATGTGATGGTCTGTGTTGCTCCTTGTACCTTTGCCAGTAGCAAGCCATGTAATTAAAAATAAAGTCTTGCTACTTAATAGGGTGCAAAAAGAAAAGGCTATTATTACTTTTTTTTTAGTTGTTAAATTTGAGCTTTTTGAATGTTATTTCATTCTTTATATAAGTTCTGTCAGTGGAACCATGTTCTTTGCCTATTTTTCTACTGGCACATCAAATTTTTCTTTTAACATAAAAGATATTAATGCTCTGTTGTACTTGTGACAGAATTTTTCCCCAGCTTATCATTTCACTTTGTTTTCTTTTTACATAGAAATGTATTCTTATTTTATTTTTTATCCTCACCTGAGGACATTTTTGCATTTATCTTCAGGTAGAGTGGGAGGGAGAAAGGGAGGAAGAGAGAGAGAGAGAGAGATACATCAAGTGGTACCTAACCCTGGACTCTCCAGTCCGCAGGCCGATGCTCTAACTGCTGAGACAAACCGGCCAGGGCTAGAAATGTATAGTCATATTGATTGCTTTTTCCATTTGTGTTATGCAGTATTTCTTTTTCCACTAATTTTTTATTTTTCCTCACCTGAGGATATTTTTTCCATTGCTTCTCAGATAGAGTGGAAGGGATGGAAGGAGAGAGGGAGACAGAAACATTGATGTGAGAGAGACATATCAATTGATTGCCTCCCACATGACCCCAACCAGGGCCAAGAATCAAACCTTCATGCAACCCAGGTACATGCCATTGACTGGGAATCAAACCCATGACCCTTCAGTCTGCAGGCTGATGCTCTAACCGCTGAGCCAAACCAGCCATGACTTACCACTGATTTTCTTTTGGAGTCTTCATAGCTGAATGTGTGTGCTTCCCTGCAGTAATGAGTTCTTACAGAGAGCAGACAGCATATTTTGAAAATGATTCTCAATATAATGTCAGTTATATTCAAACGTATCTTTCCACTAAGTTATATCTCCATCAGAAGTCAAAATCTTTAGGTCAGTCTCTGACTGACTGTAGGATGTTATAAAAAGTTGAAAGTACAGTGTAAACCGTTCAGAAGTGAGACTGCAGAGATTGACTTCTGGCATGGTAGTGATGCAGAAACTTGACAACAGGCTGGTTCTCCTCCGCTCCGTCAGAGGAATTTCTTCCTGGGCGGAGCAGGATTTTAGCATTTCTCACCCAGCCTAGCTGCCTATTGCTGAGGTTACTTTCCAGGCAAATGTGGTCAAGAAGTGGGGTTCTTTTCTTCTGCTCAGCTCCTACTTGTCTGCCTTGGGTGTGGAATTGCTGAGGCCCCGGTACCCCGTTCCAGTTCAGGATGCAGTGGTTCCATTTCCAGCAAGGCAGGCTGAGAAGACACCGGCCACTGCTTCCTGCAGTCGGGAAGAACTGACCTAGTTGTATTCAGTTTCCCCATCTGGGAACATGGAATGTCTCTCTACTATTCAAGACTGGATTTTTCAGAAAAATCTCAATTTTTCTACTAGATCTTGGACATTTCTAGATCTTTATTTTTTATTGCTATTTGTGAATGTTTTTTCTTCCTTTTAGGAAAGCTGTTGATGCTCATTTTTATCTTCCATCCTAGTAACTCTTAATTGAAATAATTTTCACTTTTTATTTTTACTGGTTTTCTAGGTAAGCATATTTATATCATATGCAAATATTGATAATCTTTGTCATTAGGTGTACATATATTTCAAATTGAAGCCTTATTATTGACTGGGACTTCAAAACAATGTTAATTAATAGGAAAGATGGAAATTTCCTTTCTAAAAGAAGTTAAATAATGAATTTTCTTTTTCTTTCTTATATACATAGGCTGGATTCTAGTGACATTTATAATGAATTGAAAGAAACATATCCTAATTATCTTCCTCTGTATGTTGCACGACTTCATCAGTTGGATGCTGAAAAGGTTGGGCGTCTTCATTTTTAATATGAGTATCTTATTTTGTTTGTAATATTAGTTAAGGTTTGTATTTTGAATTAAAAGACAAATTTATATTTGTCTTCTATTCTTGCTGACCGAAAATGTGTTTCTTCAAATTGACTGTTCCATTCAGCTATGTTCATGTAAGCTAATTAAGGAACCTGGCCATTACTATATGTTTAGGATTCTTACTCTTTGGTCACTGATAGTAGTAAAGGTACTCTTAAGGATTGCTTTTCTGGCTTTAACCTACAGAGCAAGAACCAGAAGGTAGTGGTCCTGGTCTGTTACAAATCTAAACACCTTCAGCAAAAGAAGGACCCCTGCTTTGCACCATGTTTACGATTCTTGCTTTTAACAATTAACCGTAGTTCCAGACTTTGTTAACATGGACCATCTCATTAATAATCATGGTAGTAGGAATATGCTAGCCATAATCAATTAAAAATTATCAAGGGTTTAGAGTGAACTAGAAAGCGTTGAAAGGAGACCTCTAACAGATGAACAAGAGAGAACCAAATTGTTGAGAACACCATGAATAAATACCATGATAATCATAAACTTTGTTATATTCTTGTTTACTGTCATCTCCATGTTTTTAATAATAATTGGAATTTGTTTCGTCAGCTAGTACTTTTTTTTTTTACCTCTGTTTTTATATGGCATGTGGCATGGGACTGAAGCAACATAGCCAATTAAAATCTTTTCTTTTTTAAAAAATTTTTTCTTTATTGGTTTTTAGAGAAAGAGGAAGGGAGAGGGAGAGATAGATAGAAACATTGATGAGGGAGAACATTGATTGGCCGCCTCCTGCATGCCCCCCACTGGGGATTTGGCCCACAGCCTGGGCATGTGCCCTGACTGGGAATTGAACCGGTAACCTCTTGGTACATGGGTCGACACTCAGTCACTGAGCTACACCGGCTGGGCAAAAATCTTTTCTAAAGATACCCAGAAAAGGATTTGCCTTTGTAGAAAACACTTTATATTTTTATGAATTTTATTTTTTGCTACTCATACCATTTAACACTAACAGGAATGTAAATTAGGTATTTTCCCGTCTAAGTTCAGCTTTTGTAGAGACGTTGACAGTTGCAAAGATCACGCACAGTAGGAGATGCCCTGAGCTGCAGGTGGGCTACATAGCACCCTCATCCTGGAATTGAGATGACAGACATGAAAATGCTTCAGTATACTTATTGATACATCCGTTTGTTTTCTTATTTTTTTTCCTCTCCAGGAACGAATGAAAAGACTTAATGAAATCGTTGAAGCTGCAAATGCTGTTATTTCTCATATAGATCAAACGGCCCTAGCAGTTTATATTGCTATGAAGACTGACCCCAGGCCTGATGCAGCTACTATAAAAAAGTACCTAACCAGTAAATAATCTTTCTTGCATCTCATTTCTTAGTTACTTTTTTAAAAGTAGGGATTGATATTATTGAGAATATTTTTCTTTCCTGGTGTTTCTTACATCCTTATAATTAATGAGTTATCAATATTTAGATACTCCTTCCTTAGATACTTTGTAATAATTTTCTTTAATTGTTTTAAGTGAAGCAGAAAAAAAGTAGTTTGGTTTCTCTGCCGTTATGTGCTGTCCTGGTAGAAATTTGATAGCTGTGTTCAAGCAGTCCAGCCATTTGGGGATTTGTATGAATTGGGTTGTAGTGGGGGCGAATGCATAGCACACTATAAAATTAATTTCTTAAACTATTTATTGCCTAATAGCATTAAAGCCCCATATTTAGTTTGTAAAACCTAGTAAAGTAAATGATGAAAATTAAAGTTAGGTTAAATCTCTTATCTAGCAACTTCAGTTTTTATTAAACTGGCCTTACAGTATTACCTGGGGAAAAGGGCAGGGGAGAGTATATAGTTTTGCTTTTAGAAACCCTAATGTGATAGGTAACACAGAGTGGCTAAGCTGCGTGTGTGAGTGAGCGGTATGGTTCCTTCCATGGAACAGTGGGTTCCACATGTCAGTCTAATGGTCCAACATTCTTTCACTTTCACCCTTCCATGAACTCTTACCATCACCTCATAGTGATTCTCCCAATATCCATTTTTTCTCTGTCACTTTGGTTTACTTTCAACCTAGGAAATTATTGACTTAACAAGGGTAGATATCATCATTCTCTCATAGTTACTATAACAAATAAACTGAAACTGTTCTGGCTTCCTTAATAGTACTTAGAGATTCCATCAGCTTCCATCAGAATATATTTTTTTAGAATACTGGCATTCTAAACTGCTAGAACTCCTGGCATTACATTGTTTATACTGATATTATATAGGGTCTTATGAATCTCACAAGCTATAGTTTTCAAGCAGAATTTGTTTGAAATTGGTTGTTGGCCATTGTTGGCGTCCTTTCACACTTTCCAAAGAAACAGTCTCAAAACATTGCCATTTTGTTGTTATTGTTAATAAAAATAGGAAAAAGTATAGCCACTATTAATGAAGTGCCAGTTATGTACAAGGGATTATTTGGGGCATTTAAATTTCATTCTCTAAACATCATGCAAAATAGGGACATTTTTACCCCATTTTTCTAGAAAAGCAAACTGATACTCTGAGAGATTAAATGACTTTGCCTATGGTTATAGTACTATGTAGTGGGAAAGCCAGTATTTAAACCAGGATCTCTTCCAAGCCTGTGCCCTTCCATTTCTTCATAAGCAACTCCTTATATTCCTATCCTAATCTTGAGAAGATTACCTTGCCTCATTCTTTTCTCACAGACTCATTGTATTCACAAGCATAAATGCCTCAAATAAGCAAGCATTTTAGAGACAAACACTGCCCCCTGGAGTGCAGGTTATATTTCATTCAACTGTGACTTGTCTGATCTGTGACAGGTGTTTGGAATACATCAGAAGAAAATACAGAACCTGCCCTGGAGCAAGGCAGTTTACCCTAGAGATTAAGAGCAGGGATTCCAGTAACAGACTAAGTGTCTTAGAATCCTGGGTCTACCACTTCCTAACTGTAGGACCTTGAACAAATTGCTTAATCTCTGTGCCTCAGTTTCCTTTTTTGCAAAATGGGGGTAATTAATAGTATCTTACTCATAGAATTGTTTTGAGTATAAATGAGTCAATATTTTTAAACGGTAAAACAGTTCCTGGCACATTCAGAGTAAGCATTTTATTTATTTGCTCTATACATGAAATTCCATGACTAGAAGAACCTCTCTACGTCTGTATATATACACAGAGAAAAATATGTAATAATTGCTATTTATAAGAAATCCAAACACTTAGAAGATATTATTCTGATTAAGAGTTATGTAGCTGACAGAATTTAGAACCAAATAATTTTCAGCTTTATTGCTTATGGCATTCTGTTTCAACCAAGTCCAGCTGTCCGAACTCATTTAACCCATATAAAATAGTGGCTCATTTGATGTTTATTAGAAATAAGAAGTTTTACTTGATGTACAATACCAATGTATACACATAGCTATGTAAGATCTCTGCAATGTAAATATTAAGCAAAAGAATGCATTAATTTCTTGCCTGGCTGGTGTGGCTAAGTGGATTGAGCATCATCCCATGGACTGAGAGGTCCCAGTTCAATTTCTGGTCAGGGCACATGCCTGGGTTACCGGCTCGATCCCCAGTGGGGGGCGTGCAGGAGGCAGCCAATCTTTCTCTGTCACATCAATGTTTCTATCTCTCTTTCTCTTCCTCTCACTCTAAAAAAATCAATAAAATATTTTTAAAAAAGAAGAGTGCATGAATTTCAAATAATGCTGTACTTTTAAGGAAATTTTACTGATCTGTGAAATATATTTTGATTTGATGTGCAGTGACATGGACAAACAAAAATCCACCCTCGTAGATGCCCTTTGTAGAAAAGGATGTGCCCTGGCTGACCATCTTCTTCAAGCAGAGGATCAAGATGGGGCCATTTCAAGTGATGCAGAAGGAAGAGAAGAAGAAGGAGAAAGTATTTTGGATTCTCTAACAGAAACTTTTTGGGAAACTACAAAATGGACTGATCTTTTTGACACCAAGGTAACCTTTCTGCTTCTTGTTTTTGTGCAGTTTTTGGTGGTTACTTCACAAACTTCTCGTGTGCCCTATTGCCTACTGTTTCCTGTTTCCCAGTTACTGGCCAGAAGAAGAAGAGAATAAGTGGAGTGAGGCTAAGCTTGGCTCTGAAGCAGACATGTTTAGCAATACCTTGTATTGGTCATATCTGTTTTATAACCATTTTTTTTTTTTTTACCATTATTTTATCTGTCAGCAAAGTGGCTGTTTAGCCATATTAATTTGGAAAGCAGTTTGAAAATGTATGTAGTGTTCCTTTGGTTAAGCCAGCCAGTTAACATATGAAGCTAGAATTAAGAATACCTTCTAGAGCCCTGGCCGGTTTGGCTCAGTGGTTGGAGCGTCCTCCTGCAGTCTGGAGAGACTCGGGTTCGGTTTCCGCTAAGGGCATGTACCTTGGTTGCAGTTTGTCCCCGGCCCTGGTTGGTTGTGCGGTGGCAGCCACTCGATGTGTCCCTTTCACATCGATGTTTCCCTCTCTCTCTCTTCCTCTCTCTCCCTCCCACTCTGTCTGTACAAAAAATGGAAAAATGTCCTCAGGTGAGGATTAAAAAAAAAAAAAGAAAAAGAATATCTTCTAGAAATCGTCTTCATGCCTTTCCATATTTATTTACATGCTAATTTGTCAGGGATTGGGAGGAGGTGGCATTTTGGTTAGTTTAGACATTATTTTTCTCAAGACTAACTTCTAAATAATTATCAGCTTAACGTATAGCTGATCTATTTTAAAACCTACTTCAGAAAATATAACATTGATAAATGTTTGGATTTTGGTTATTAAAACATTTTTAAATCCTGTTAGCTCTCTACTATGCCTCTTACAGTAGAGCTTATGTAACAAGTTTTGTTCATCTTTCTTTGCTCTGGAGATAAAATAATAAATGAAATCAATGGAATTCTCCTTACCCAGCAGAAACAATTATTTTGTTTTAGTAGACAGATGCTTGTTTTCAGGATGGAAGAACTCTGAAAGGAGGGGGAAATTCTCCCTGTATGCTTCAGATTTTCCTCCACAGTACAGTAGCACATATGGAGGAAGAACTCAGCTGAATTTAGGAAACTACACCAGAATTTGGATCTGAAATCAGACCCTTGGAGTTTGAATCCTGCCTCTACCACTTCTATTATTCTGATGTCTCAATTTCTCTTATCTGTTGAGTGAAGCTACCTACCATAGCCTTTTTTTTTTAATCTTCACAAGGATTTAATTCCTTAATGAGGAATATTTTGTTCAGATAGAGTGGGATGGTGAGAGAGAGAGAGAAACATCGGCATGAAAGGGACACATCGAGTGGTTGCCACCTGCACGACCCAAACAGGGCCGGGGACAAACTGCAACCGAGGTACATGCCCTTAGCGGGAACTGAATCCAGGGCTTTCTGGACCGCAGGCCGACGCTCTAACCGCTGAGCCACACCAGCCAGGGCTTCCATAGCCTTTTATGAATGAGTATTAAGTACACAGGAGGACCTCAACGATGTTTGCTGTTCTTCCTAACAAATAATTATCGCATGTCTACTTTATGCCAAACACTGAAAAAAGATTACTGCTGGAGAAAGATGCCTAAGGTACCAGTCCAACAGAAAGTTGATCAACTCTTGATAAAATTGTTATAAATAATTCTGTTTTTCCCATACTACTACTATATTAGGGGCCACGCATTACTGTTACCTGTCTGTTTGCATTCAGAGTAACAATTGAAAACTTTACTTGGCTCTAGAATACAAATAAGTGCCACAGAATCTCTTTCTTTGAGAATGTTTTTCACATTCCAAAAGTGGAGATCAAAAATACAGATAAATGGTTATAAGTATATTTGACAGATATGTTAATTAAAGGTACAGAAGTAGTGGAAAGTTTATATATTCTGACACTTTTTAAAACTTTTATCCTCTTTTGTAATTTTGGTAATTTATATTGACTATAGTTTTGTATTTCTATCATAATTTACATTTTTGCAATCATTTAGATTAGCTCTGCTTTCTTTTTTTCATGAAGAGGTATTTTGGTATGGATTTCAACAGCTAGTGATTTATCATTAGTTTCTTCCCTGAGATAAATGATCTGTTCTGTGGAATACCCACCTCTTTTGAAGACATTAACTGTTCTTTTAAAAGTTTTTTGAAATTTACTTGTTATAACATGTTCATTTAAAAATTGATACTTCTGTAGAAGCCTTATTTGTTTCATTACTGAAGCTGTATGCCTTGAAATGTAAATATTTCATAGATAAGCTTTATCTTATTTTACGTTATAGGTTTTGACATTTGCATACAAGCATGCATTAGTAAATAAAATGTATGGGAGAGGCCTTAAATTTGCAACTAAACTTGTGGAAGAAAAACCAACAAAAGAAAACTGGAAAAATTGTATTCAAGTAAGTGATATTTAAATTGTCATCATTAAAGTTCACTTTAGTACTTCCTAGTGACAAGATAGCTAGAAAGCCTTGTGGTAGTGATATAACTGTGCTAACTTTATCAAGATTAATATTTATTCTAATCAGTGTAATTTGAACTATAAAAGAAGTGCATGAAAAGAAAGTCAAAAAGCTATTTAAAATTTTAAAACATTTTTTACACCTGTCCAGAAAATCTGTATTTAGCTTCAGGTATTTTCAACATAGGCATAATGCATTATGAATTTTGTATAGGTAGAAGATAAAGTTTTCCTTTATGAAGGAAACAAGTAATTTCTTTTTTTTGAGTTTATTTATTTTATCCTCACCCGAGGACATTTTTCGATATTTTGTTCAGATAGAGTGGGAGGGAGCGAGAGAGAGAAACATCGACGTGAAAGGGACACATCGAGTGGTTGCCACCCGTACGACCCAACCAGGGCCGGGGTCAAACTGCAAACTGAAGTACATGCCCTTAGCGGGAACCGAACCCGGGTCTCTCCGGACCGCAGGCCGACGCTCCAACCGCGGAGCCAAACCGGCCAGGGCAAGTAATTTCTCCAAATACATATTGGCTTAATTCTAAAAATGTTACTTTATTATTATTATTAGTTTTTATCCTCATCCAAGGATATGTTTTTATTGATTGAGGAGAGAGAGAAAAAACATAGATGTGAGAGAGAAACATCAATTGGTTTCCTCCTATATGCCACCTGACCAGGGTCAAACGCAGGACCTGGGCATGTGTCCTGACCGGGAATTGAACCTGCGACCTTTTGATGTATGGGATGATGATCCAACCTACTGAGCCACACTGGCCAGGGTGGACATTGTTATTTTACCACATATTGTATTATATGCCGAGAAATTCTTTGGTTGTCCATTTTGCAGAAGTTAATTGTCAAGTATAATTCCACAGAAATTATTTTAGTCTCATCTTGTCTTTGTTATGCATAATTGGTTTATGCCTAAAGGAGGATATAGGGAGGTTGGGGAATGTTGATTATGCCAAATGTGACCAACGATCTGCTCTTTATATTTAAAGTATTCTTTTGGATGTAAAACAGACCAGTAGGTTTCTGTGGAAATTTTTTATTAAATTATAGGTTAACTTTACTCTTAGACCCTTTTTTGTGTACCTTCACCAATCAGTTTAAATTGTAAGACATTTTAAATTAGTTCCTTTAGATCTTTGACTAGGTTAAGAGAACTCTTTCTGGAACTAATTGTTATTAAGTCCGGTCTCATCGTGTAGGCTGTAATCTGCGAACTCTTATATTTGTGAAGCCAGTGATCCACCCAAACATTCACTTCAGGGACATTTTGTAACTTGTGTCCCCTCCACTCTGCTTCCCTACTGTCTATTTTCCAACCAGCAACCAGAAACTGGCTTTAGACACCAACTGGTGAATCTCCCATCATATTTAGAATATAATCCAAATTCCTCACTGTGGCCCGTAGGCCTTATGTGATCTGTTTCCTGCCTTCCATTCCAACCATGTCTCAGATCACACTTCTTCCCCTATTCACTCTGCTTCTGCCACACTAGCCTTCTTTCTGCTTGGCTAAAACAGCCACGCCCTTTCCCACCGGGCCCAGGCTACTCCAGCTATAGGGAAAGCTCTTCCCCAGATTTACACAAAGGATGTTTCTTCTTATTCAGGTTTCAACTTAAATGTTACCTCCTGAGATTCCATTTAACTTCCCAGTCACTATTATATAGTTTTATTTTTACTGTATCCTTAGTATATATCTTAATTATTAACTTATTTAATCATATATTAATTTGCTGTTTTATTATTTGGTTTTCCTGAATAGAACATATGTTTTCTAAAAGTGGGAAGTGAGTTTGTTTGGTGCTGTTTTCCCAATGCCTAGACTGGTGTTTGACATGCACTGGGCACTCAGAAAAACTGAATGAAAGAGAAATAGATTGATAGGAAGGGAGCAAGAAAATTAATTGGTAAAGAAAACAGAAAGGTTAGCAGGAAGGAGGGAAAGAAGGGACATTGGCAGGATGACAATAATCACCAGGATAGTCCAGCCGGTGAGGCTCAGTGGTTGAGTGTCATCCCATGTACTGAGAGGTCCTGGTTCGATTCCCGGTCAGGGCACATGCTCGGGTTGGGGCTCGATCCCCAGTCAGGGACATACAGGAGGCAGCTGGTTGATGTTTCTCTCTCCATAAATGTTTTCTCTCACTCACTTCCTCTCTCTGTCAAAAAATCAGTGAAAACATATTTTTAAACATAATAATAATAATAATCACCAGGATAGGTTGGCTGGTAGGAAAGTTTATAGTTGGTAAGAGGGAAAGAAGTTGGATTGGTGGTAGGTTAGATGGAAGGAGAGTTCTACATACTACATTATTACTAAATATTTAATGCAAAAGTTACTTTAAACATTGAGCTTGAAAATCTGTTCTTTAATAACATATCACTGTGTTTTGTTATAGCTGATGAAGTTACTTGGATGGACCCATTGTGCATCTTTTACTGAAAACTGGCTCCCTATCATGTATCCTCCTGATTATTGTGTATTCTAAAATGGGAACCAAGACTTTAAATTTTAAAAAAGAAAATTTTATAGTGAATGGATATAAAAACAAATTTGTGGCATTTTTAGTCTAATGCATGTTTTCATCTGCTATCAAATACTGATTATTAAAATGATGTGTATTTATCAGAGACTTTGCTGGTGTGTGGCTTAATACATGTAAATCCAGACCTCTGACATCATGGTGTGCTCCTAATGCCTCATATTGCTGGCAATGGGCTGTGTGCCCTACTGCCAGCACCAAGGACTTTCAGTTGGGTTGCAGCTACTACATGCATGATAGGTTTTGAACAGTAGCTTCTAACTGCAAACCTGTATAATTCTATTTTTATTTTATAAATGAACAGGGTTTTAACATGCTTGACTTTAATTTTTTTCAATTGTTGAAGGCCTTAAAAAGCTACACTAAACGTAGCTAAAATTATTTATTGGACTAAAAAGTAACAGAACTTCCAGATGTTTTCTGTGTGTGTGTGGCGGGGGGGGGGGGGGGGGGGGGGCGTTTACAATCAATTAAGGGAGAAAAATTAAAGGGGCACACATAAATACGTGGCAATTGCTGCAGCAGAACTGCTTCTATAAATCATCATCTTGGAGTGATTTCAGGCCAATCACTTTTAACATCCTCTTGACTTGCAGAGCATCAGAATGAATTAATAATACATGTATAAGTGCCAGACAGCTAAATCAGGTATTATAAAGACACACATTATGGTATGTTTATTAAAGTTGAAATAATGTAAACACTTGAATAAATGTGCAAAACCGAAATCACACAGTACACCATATACACTCTGATACCTTAATTTTTTATAAATAATAAAAGTGAATATTGAAGCTTCTTAAAGTTGGTCTTAATTTTTCATAAATTTGAGATTAGAACAAAAGTAATGTTAAATCCATAGGCAAAAAATTCAATGTGAGGTAATTTATTTTATAATGTTTCTTATAGGCTTGCAATTATTTGAATGTTTCCTACCTTATTGTGATTAACTTTTATGTATGTTTAACTTATTATTTTTATCTTTCTGGGTATTATACTTGCTTCTCTCATCCTTTCTCCATAAAATAAACAGACACACGTAGACAATATTAAAAGCCTCTACTGACTTATAGCAAGTGTGTGTGTGTGTATGTGTATGATTTTAAAATATTATTCCCTTAGAGTTTACTACCATAGAAGATCTACCAGTAATCTTGTCTAGTTGTTCATAACTGGTTTTTGGTAATTGATTCCTTTATTTGATTAAAACATGTAGAACCTGTGTGAAAAAATACAAATAGCTACATGCCCATTCCCTTACAAACACAGGTACTTTCACCTACACACCTAAAGGTCCCCGTCCAACAAGAAAATTGAGAAGCTCAGAAAAGATAGGTGACTTCCCAAGGTCACGCTGTTGATTGACTGATTATTAATTACAGAACCTGTTTTACAATCCAGGCTTTGCCATATCTAGTAAGTCCTACCTGCTTGCACAGAGTCTGGGTCAGTAAGAGGTGAGCCGTCTTCTCGGGTCTTTCCTGAGGATTTGTACAGCTCTACCATGTGCATGCCCTTCTGGATGCTCAGGAATATGTCAAGAGCTTTCAAAGCCCCTGTGAATACAATTTCCCAGCATTTCCTTTTAAGCTTTGATTAGCCCCAGCTGTTATTCAACATCCCAGGCAGCCACAAAATTACACAACTGCCTATAATTATCTGTACAACCACCACTAGGAAAAAGGCTTCTGGGCCTGAGAGAGATCTGAATACAGTCTAATAAAGATGGCCTTGCACTTGAGGGTCTTCTAGGAAAAAACCAGATGTCAAATAATGGCAGTTCTCTGGGAATACAGGTTTGGTGGAACTCCCAACCCTATTTGGCTCCCTCCAGTGACAGTGGGCTGCTGCTTTTAAGGACTCCCCTGGAGATGGAGATGGATTAGGGACAGGGCAGTTGAAAACATCACAAAATGCACTCACTGCTCTTTCTGATGTTCAGCCATTTTACCTGCACAAACACCTCAGATTGCTACATGCCTTTGGTTAATTTCCAGAATTCTGAAAAAGTTGCTTCTGATAATTTTTGCCTATTTCCCCATAGCTTTAATGGGGAAACCATTTGAGTGACATCACACTTTTCTTTTTACACAAGAATTTAGTATCCAATTTTAGTGGAATTTTAAGATCAGAAACTTACTGATAATACATTTGTTTTGAAGTACTCCTTTCTGAGTTACATCAAGATACAATAAATTCTAGGATCTTTCGAGTATGATTTTTTTTACACAAAACTACCATCATTCCAAAGCTCCGAAATTTCTCACTTTATTCCTCAGGTTTTGTTGTGGTTTTTTTATATACTCTTCGAGAAAGGTATGGCGCTCTGGTGTGGTAAGTGGTGGGCCTCCGACAGGCCCGCTGCGCAGCAGCCCCACCTACCGGGTGAAACAACACCGCGCAGGGAGCTGGCTGCACCTTTTCTGCCGAGGTATTGTTTTAGTAGCACGTCACCCCTGCTTTTGTGAGAGGATTTCAGAGAATTCAGTACATGTATAATTAAGCTGTGTCCTCTCAAGGGTCAGATGTGAATAACCGCAGTTCCAGTATCAAGGCCAGATGTCACCGTTTTCACTAGGTGATACCTAGTGACATTTCCGATAGCACTCACTGCCTGCGTTTCCAGTCATATGAACCAATTTCTTTCGAGAAGCTGACTATGCCAGGTCATATCCAAAATGTGAATAAAATACAAATCAACTGGAATTATCTTCCATAATTTTCTTTCATGTTGTATATGATTTTAAAGTTATTAACATGCCTCAATGGTTCTGTGTACCAAGTTACCTTAAAATTTACCGGTTTTAACAACAGTCATGATTTTTTACTCATGAGTGTAACTTGGCTGGAGTTGAAGCTGGGCTTGGCTTGTATGGTTCCAAGCCCAAGTCATTAAAATGTATAGTTTACAGGAAGAATGGAAGACAAATATTCTATATAACTGCAATTTAGCTTTACTAAAAGGGCAGACTTCTATACATTTAGGAAATAATAAAATAAATACACGATCATCATATACCTTTGTCCTGGGAATGTGAAAGTTAACCATTTGTAAGTCTGAGATTTAGGGGGCAGGTCCCATTGCTATAATTTTTTAAGATTTCTCTACATCATGTACTTGAAGAGATTTTAAAGCAAATGTACATATTTTTATTGTTTATTGGGGTAATATTTAATAAAATTGTTTCAGGTGTACAATTCTATAATATCTGTATATTGTATTGTGTCTTCACCTCCCCAAGTCAATTCTTCTATCACAATTTATTCCCCCCTTTACCCTCTTCTACCTCCCATCACCTCACTTTCCCTCTGGTAATCACTACACTTGTCTGTGTCAATGAGGTTTTTTTGTTTGTTTTTTCTTAATCTCTTCATTTTTTCACCCAGCCCTTCCCTCTCCAGCTTTCTATTTTGCTTATTTTGTTCATTATTCCATGTGTAAGTGAAATGGTACTTGTCTTTGTCCAACTGGCTTATTTCACTTAGCATAATACTCTAGGTTCATCCATGAGATGGTAATATTTCCTTATTTTTACATCCGAGTAGTATTCCACTATGTAAGTGTACCACAGCTTTTTTATCCATTCATCTATTGATGGGCTCTTGGCTGTTTACAAATCTTGGCTGTTTTTTGTTGAACAAAATTTTTTATTGTTACTTTTAGAGAGGAAGGGAGAGAGAGATAGAAATATCGACATGATAGAAACATCGATGGGCTGCCTCCTGCAGGCTTCCTACTGGGGACCGAGCCCACAACCCAGGCATGTGTCCTGGACTGGAGATCAAACCAGGGACCTCTCAGTCCATGGGATGACGTCAATCCACTGTACCACACTAGCTGGGCCAAATCTTGGCTGTTGTAAATAACGCTGCAATGAACATAAGGGTGCATATATTCTTTCGCATTAGTGTTTCAGGTCTCTGGATAAATTCCCAGAAGTGGAATCACTGGGTAAAAAGGCAGTTCCATTTTCAAAATTTTGAATTTACTCCATACTGCTTTCCATGGTGGATGCATGTCTGCATTTTCTCCACATCCTCACCAATACTTGTTTGTTGATTTATTTATTGATGATAGCCATTCCGACAGGTGTGAGGTGATATCTCATTGTGGTTTTAATGTGCATTTCTCTGATGGTTAGTGACATTGAGCATCTTTTCATATGTCTATCAGCCATGTGTATGTCATCTTTGGAGAAGTGTCTATTAGGTCCTTCGCCGTTTGATAATTGGATTGTGTGTGTGTGTAGTTTTGTAATTTTGCCCTGGTTGGTATGGCTTAGTTAATTAAGCATTTTCCTGTGCATTGAAAGGTCGCTGGTTCAATTCCAGGTCAGGACACATGCCCAGGCTGTGGGCTTGATCACTGGTTGGGGTGGGTGCTGGAGGCAGCCAGCCAATCAATGCTTCTCTTTTACATTGATGTTTCTCTTTTTCTCCTTTCCTCTCTAAGTTTTTCTTAGACTGTATCCTCACCTACCACCCCCATTTCTTTGCCACTGGCTTGTTCCATAAGCCAGACATCAGCGGTCCCATAGAATATCCTACATTCTGATTTGTTCTTCATTTCCTGGTGGTTTTAACTTCTTCTCTAATCCCTTTATCTCTTCTAGTTCACTGTAGAGACTTGATTAGATTCAGGTTTAACCTTTTGGCAAGAATATTACAGTTGGTGCTGTGTTTTCGTATAGTATTACATCAGGAGGCATCCAATGTCTGGTTTTATTTTTAGTGTTGCTAAGATTGATTGAAGGGCTTGGGCTGTGAGAGCCTGATCCGTGCATTAAGCTCACCACTGTCAGGGATACCCTTTTGATGGCTGTTGCATGACTCACTTATTTCATTAGAGGTGGCAAAGTGATCATTTTCTGATCTGATCATTCCTTATACATTTATTAGCTGGAGTTTCTCTGTAAATAAGATATTTCTCTCTTCAATTAGAGCTGTTTGATTGTCCTGAAGACAAGATAAGTGCTTAATTCTTTTCTTTTAATTGCCAGTTTCAGAATAAGTGGGGCTCTGGTATTTCCAATAATGTCCAATGAGTTGGGTCTCATATTCAATTGATTAAATTAATGGAATAATTTTTTTTTTTTATCCTCACCGTGGACATTTTTCCATTTTTTGTTCAGATAGAGTGGGAGGGAGAGAGAGGAAGAGAGAGAAACATTGATGTGAAAGGGACACATTGAGTGGCTGTCTCCCACATGACCCAACCAGGGCCAGGGACAAACTGCAACCGAGGTACGTGCCCTTAGCGGGAACCGAACCCGGATCTCTCTGGACTGCAGGCTGATGCTCTAACCGCTGAGCCAAACCGGCCAGGGCTGGAATGAATTTAATACTCGGACCATGCCCCTTTGTGAGTTGAGGGTCCCACGGAGCCAGCAGCCTTGCGTTAGGGGTGAAGTGGGGGCTAAAATTTCCCTTGGATGGCTGGTGGCCACTTTTTCATGGAAAGCTGAGATGCTACTGGGGTCAAGCTGATTCCACTTTTCAAGTGGGAGCATCAGGCTGGAGTCACAAGGCCTCCTGGAGTCAGGTGTGTAGTTTCAGCCAGAGCCTGAGAGCAAGCCAGTAGCTGCTTTTCAAAAGGGGTGTGCCTGGGAGGTCCCATGAGGGAAGTCACAAATCCAAAACCTCTAGGACCTAGAGTCTAGGTGAAGGCTGCCTCTGTTTGCCAGAAATTCCAGTTGGCAAAATCATCAGTCACAGTGAGATATAGCTCAGAGGAGTCGGAAGGGTGAGTCCCCAAGGGCACAGCGCTTCTCTGCAGACAGCTCTTTCGGATCAGAATCCTCCTCTCTGGCACTTATGGGACTAGAACTAAAAATGTAACATGTCATGGGACCTTGGCTGGTGTCTGTTTTTCCTTGGGTCCAATCAGGCGAAACCATGCAGTAAGTTAACAGGGAATGGTGAATGCAAAGAATTAAAAATACAATGTGAAATTCAAATAATGAGGCATTGGCTATTAAGAAGAGAACTCTAAAGAATGTAGAAAAAGCAAATATCGAGAGCAGCCACTATACTTAGCCGAGATGGAACTCCCCCTCTACTAGCAGGGCTGAGGTTCAGATCTGGCTGGGAGAGCATGGCTGTGGCTTGCTACATGAGAGAGAGGTTGATGTGGCCTTGTGCTGGTCATGTTTGCTGGAAATCTGCCCTAGGGGGTGCTAGGGAAAGCTGTTTGTGGGACTAGGCTACACAACTACTACCCAAGTGTGCTGGGGAAGGGGGTAAGCTGCCACTGCTGGGTGCCGCTGGCTGCTTTGCTCCTGTGCACAGCACTGGAGAAGCTGCACGCTCTGTGGGCGCTGGGCCCTGGGGAAGTCCACTGGGCTGCAGGAGCACACCAGAACTGGAAGGCAAAACCCTGTCCTGCACCCTCTGCTGACAAAGCTTAGTATTGTTCCAGCTGGCAAAGGG